TAAAATTATGTTTAATCTTAATATTGAACCTTGTATTCTATGTTCATCATCAGATATTGTTAATTTGTTGTTTCGTTTGAAGGCTTCTACTTTGAAAGATTTACAAATATAAAATTTGATTCAAAATGTTTTTGTTCCTGATGAAACTTTAAAAACAATTTTTTAAAAACAAATGGGCAATCTTTAAAAACTTTTATTATTAAAACAATTTTCAGGGCTTAGATATTCACCTTCTGAAGATGGAGCAGTTTGTTTGTGTTGCGTTTTGTTTAGATATAAATACCTTTCAAAAACTTCTAGATTTAAAAATTTGTATTCTCAGTCATTCAAGTATAGGCCAGATGCTGTGAGCACTTTTAATAGACATTACCATGGGAAAAACGGGAATAATTATGAATATCACTCAGCTGAAAAATTTATGAACATCATCACGCAGTACAAATTCTACATTATAATGCCTGGACCATATTTTCCGCAGTTTTAAATACTATGAATAGAAATATTTAAAATATAGATATTTTAATAAAGAATGTGAAAAGGAGATAGCTTTAAATTGTAAGAAGATGTTTTGCGAGAAAATTATTTTCTTAGGTCAACTTAATATAGCTTTCAGAGGTCATTTTGATGGTCATTGGCAAATATTCTTTAGTGGGTGGAGTAGGTAATTTTATTGAACTTTTAAACTACAGAATCAGAGGTGGGGATAAAATTCTTGAACTTTATCTTAACAGCTGTGCAAAGAATGCATCTTATATTTCTAATTCCTCACAGAATGAATTAATAAGTTGTTGGGGAAAGGACATCCAGAATATTTTGGTTTCTGAAATAAAAGAAAATCGAATTTTTTCAGTTATTGCTGATGAAGCTTCTGACTGCTCCAATCAGGAATAATTGTCTTTAATAATTAGATTAATAGACAATTCCTATGATGTTAGGGAAGAATTTATGTGTTTTTTACATTGTAAATTAGATACTGAATAAAGGTTTGTATATACACTGTATATACTAATCTTTATTCAGTATCTTCAAGATCTTCTTCAAATAGAAAGTTTGTATAATTTTTAAATTAAAAAATATAATTATTTTATTTTTTACAGTTTTATTTATTTAAAAGGATTATTTATTTTATTTTAGTTGTTATTTTATTTTTTTCATGAAGTTTTATTATCTTTATAAATTTAAACATGTCTAATTTTTATTGTATTCTTTTTTTCTATATTTATCTTTAGTTTTACCTGTCAATTGTTAATCGAAACTGGTACCGTTATGTACTGTATCTTTGGTATTTTAATTAGGAGCATTATATTCATTGTCTATTATATACTTTTTCTCCTTTTTTTCAGCTCTACCTTGAGATTCTACCTTGTGTGGTTATTTGAGTTGAAATATGGTTTTAATTTAGTAAGCTTTCATTATTTGAAGTTTACTTTATTGATCATTATTCAACAGTTTAGAGAAAATAAACACATGCAACACATTAACTGTAAGCATAACTTTGTTTACGAACATTAATATTACAATTGTTTAACATTATATAGCATATCTATCAATGAAATAAAATAACAAAATGGGTTTTTATGGTTAGTTATCATATCATTGCTTTTGTGTTATTGCATTTCTCATAGTATGATAGTCATACTAATCAATTACATTATAATTTTTTTATAATTATGGTATTAATGTTATTGTAGTTGTTTACTTTTACCAAGTTTTTATTCTATTTGCAAGTCACCTAACTATGCAAACCTTGCCTATTTAATTAATGATTTGTTATACTCCATACAGGTGTATTATTTATATATGTTACAATTATACACAATAATGATGCCCACAAAGTATTTTAATACCACAGACAATATTTTATTTTTGTAGATTTAATGGATCCTTGCTAGTTTTAATACTATATATCTATATATATATATATATATATATATATATATATATATATATATATATATATATATATATATATATATATATATATATATATATATATATATATATATATATATATATATATATATATATATATATATATATATATATATATATATATATATATATATATATATATATATATATATATATATATATATATATATATCTATATCTATATATATATATATATATATATATATATATATATATATATATATATATATATATATATATATATATATATATATATATATATATATATATATATATATATATATATATATATATATTATATTAAATATCCAACCCCATTTGAGTCGCTTTTTTGAAGGCTTTGCAAATAACTTATTTATCAAACAAATGGGGTAGGTGCTTTTTTTTGTATTGCATCTTCATCCCCCCCCGTCCTTTCGTGGGGAGGGGGCAGTAAAATCCGCAACCGACTTTTTTGACTAACCTCTTTAAAAAGCTAAACCCGCCCCTGATATATATATATATATATATATATAGTTTTTTTTTTTTTTTTTTTTTTTTTCTACGAAAGCCAATAGCCAGCATTTTATATTACAGACAAAATCTTTTTTTAAGGTATTTTAAATAGGCGTGGTGTAATTTTGGTGTGATTTTGTACATATTGTATATATTAATTGGAAACATTGGAAACATTGTTTTTGTTGAAATATATAATAATTTTTTAATGTAGATATTATAGGTGCTTCCAGAAGTCCTTACGGTTTATCACAGAGCACAGCGGAAGAGCATTTAACAAGAAGTTCATGCCTCCTTCCGTACCAATGTCGCTAGTTGAGCTAGAGCTGGCGTCGAACCTGGGATCTCTGGGTTCTGAGCCAGAACTCTACCACTGCGCCACGGCTGCTCAATAATGATTGTTGTAAAAAAAAGGAAAGAAGTTCACAGGTTATCGTTTTTTCATTAAATTTTTACTTTTCTTTTTTTAAAAAAAAATTTTTCTTCTAAAAATAATAACTTTATGCACCCGTAAAGAAAGGAGATCTAAATATCAGTTTTGTAGCCAGGATTTTTAATTTTCAAATATGATACACTTTCAGACATTGTGCAAATTCCAAACTTAAATTTATTCATCCTTATACAACAGTTGATATTAGGAAAAACCGTAAAAAAAAAAAAAAAAAAAACCGCTATTAAAATGGTAAAGAGATACAAATCCATGTCAAGAATTACCAAAAAATGCCCAGTAATTTAGGTTATGAGAAAATACATAATTGGGCACAAAACAAGGCACATAGGAAAAAAATTAATTTTATCGATAATAATGTTTTAATCAAACATTGGGAAAATGATTTTATTCTTAATAACAATTATACAAACAGTTTCAAAAATTAATTACTTTTGAATTATCTTGAGAAAACGTTTGTACTCTTTTATTGCAAAATTGCACGACTTGTTGAAAATTGATTGCGTTGCAATGACATCTTTTTTACGTTACGTACGTTATAAGAAAAATAATTATTATAGACTCTAAAGTTTTGTTATCTTAAAGTTATATTTAGTTGAAATATATAGTTTTTAAACTTTTTATTTTATTATTATGTTTTGCTTACTTATATTGCGAGAATGGAGAATGTATCTATGGAGATATGCATTATATATCAAGAAGATGTTGGGCGGAAAAAGAGAGCTTTGGGGAAAATAAGTAAAGATAAAAAACTAAATGATTTGCACAGGTACTATACATATACTAATATGTATTTGCAACAAATATTTAATCCGTTATTACATTATATTTTGATTAAACAATTTTAACCGTCCTAAAAGATTATGTTCTCAAAGCTCTGTGACAAGAATAATTTAGCACTTAAAAATAATTGTTAATTTGAAAATCAAATTGGAAAATTAACTTTGCATTTGTAATTTTAAATAAGTATTTTTCAGCTAACTCAAGTCATTTTTCAATAAAGTAAAACCAGAGGAACTGTATTACTGACCTAAGTGCTTATTTATTTCAACTCCATTTTAAAAAGTTAAAAGAACTTTTCCGCGTTAATATCTATAAATAAAAAAAAAACTTTTCATTTTTTAACTTTTTTTCTTACAAAGAATTAGTAAATTTAATAGCAAATAATATTTTCAATAGTTATTATTAAAATTTAAAATTTATTGCATAAATAGTTGTTACTTTTATAAGATCACTTAATGTTTTCTCCCAACTTTTTAAAATGGAGATAAATAAGCACTCGGGTCGCGATTAGTTCATCATAATTGTAGATAAAATTTGTTGATTCTTAGCCAAGCTACATATCTATTCCACCTTCTAAAAGGTTAAGATCAACAAATAATGCCGGTTTTAATTAAAAATATAACTGTTTTCTATTTAACAAGAAAGCTGAAAAGAATTTATTTTCGCAACAAGAGACCATTTGAGACAAAAATGTAAACAAATAGCAATAAACTACTTAAATAAGATTTCTAAATAGGTAAGTTATCTAAATAAAAAAATGAATGGATTTAATAATAACATATATTGTAACTATTCAATTATATAGAGGGAGAGGGGCAAATTGACCCGGGTACCAAGCTTGAACGGGCGCCTGACATCCTGTTATTATTATTATTTTTTACAATAAATAGAAAACATTTTAATGACTGCAATTTGAAATCTGCTTAGTTCTTGATTTGATGTTAAAACTTTACGAGACCCGAGTACCCATCTGGGTATCCCACATGGGTCCCATTGCGATTCTGTCGGTGGGATCTAACTGGGTCCCATCTGGGATAAGTCTAGGTTTTTGACGGGAAATCCCATATTGAACCCAGATATTTTTTTCATTTACCGCGGGTTTTTTCAACTTTTTATAGTTTGTTTTTTCGCAGATTTTTTGTATCACGAATCTGCGAAATGATGTGACAATTTTTTGATTAAAAAGTGTCGCATTTTTTCTATAAAATTAAAAAGTAAAGGTTATTTATTTTATCTATATTCAATTCACTGTCAGGACAATAAAATGTATTAGGCAAATGAATATTTGGTCTCACATAATTTTTACAAATCAATTGAAAAAACAGATTTGAATTTTATAATATTTTTAAGCAACAAAAAACTAATATTATACAATGATTTGATGCAAAATTGTTCTACGATAGTAATATTCTGCCACAGTAGTTCTCTCATATCGCCACCATAATCGTATGATAAAATTCTGCTTTAAAGTTTATCATGTATATAACCGGGCGCAATTAAAGCAACCCGTAATACGGGTTATTAGTAATTAAATAATTGCTTACAGTTAACAACAAAAAAGACTACGTTATCATCAGTTAAGTTCTTTTTAAAATCTGTTACAACACAGCAGGTACCATAAAAAGAAAGTCAAGTAAAGCCTCCAATGCCTAAAAAAAGGAACGAAAAATAATTACAATTTTTAATTACAAAGTATTATTGGCATTTTATTGTTGGTAGAATGAAGATATAAAGACTTAAAAAAATTGCTGTAATAGCCCAGTTCTATCAACACAAAACACATTAACAATAGCGCATAGCATAAGATATTTGTAAGCACACATTACTGTCTCTCCAAAATGATTAAAAAAGAAAAGATTATATAAAGGCTAGACAACTTAACGTAGTAAATAACGTAATAACGTATAGCAACATAAATTAAGATATTTTATCAACTAAAATACTTGAGCTAAAAAGATTTTATTGATTACAATATTGAACAATTTTATCATAAAATACTAAGCAGCTCATAAAATTTTTTATATACATGGTCATTATTAATTGTGGCATTAATAAAACTTATATAATTACTTTTATTTTAACTAAAAAGTAATTATATAAGTTTTATTGATGCTCCACGTACTAATTCTCTTTTAACTCTTATCTAAGAGTAAACAAAATTATTTTTACCTTTATTATGAAAAGTTCCAGCTTCTCTTTAACTGTCAACTAATGATTAATAGAGTAAATTTCATATCATTAAATTTACAAAATTAAAACCATGTTTCAACAGTAAGCAAACTAATCAAGTGATAAGAAAGGCAACTAAAAAAAAAGAACATAATTACGTTTGAATTTATAAAAAAATTTAAAACCATTTAAATTTAAAACTATTTGATTTAAATTGTTTTAAAGTGTTTAAAATAAAATCAAATAAACACACATTAACACGGCTTGACACTGAATTCTAGCAAGTAAGTTTTCTGCTCGCCGAGCAGCATTTCTTATATTTCAACAACTTTTTTTTTAACTTTATTTTAGGTGCTCCAAGAAGTCCTCAAGGTCTTATCACAGAGCACCGTGGATAAGCATTTAATAGGAAGTTCACGCCTTCTTATTGATGTAAATAAATTTTTATTTTTATTTTTCGATAAAAGTTGTCTATCAAAAATAAAAATAAAAATTTATTTACATCAATAAATTGTAATTTAACGAAGAATCTAGACAACAATACATAATCTAAAAATGTAAAAAATAAAGTAATATCACTCAATATATTTTACTCCAAAGTAATTAAAAAAAACCTATTAAACCTATTAAATCTAATGAAAATGTTAAATAAAAAAATATAGCAAACTTACTAAAATCAGTACCAGTTCTACTGCCAAAAAAACTTTTATTATTAACCCTTCTTATAGTAATAAAAAAATAACAACAAAGTGATCTGAAGTTACTAAAAATCACTTCACCTATTTTTTTTGTTTAGGTTAATTGTTTAACTAAAAGTCTATAACTATAATACTGAGATAATGTAACATGATTTCTAATCAATGTTCAGGGTTGTGAACCAATTTGATTGTAGCACGTTCAGGGTTGTGAACCAATTGATTATGCCAACCAGCATAAACCCTTAGAAAAAATAGAGAACAAACCATAGGCTCTAAAATTTGGCAGACATAATTGATATATTTTAAGAGAATGACCTCTTGGGAAAATAACAACTTCACTGGAACCATCTTCACCAAAAATACAACTGCAACTTCATTATGTGAAGGGAGATTATAGTGACGTCTATCGTGCCCTTTTTTCTCCCTGTTTCAGTTCGAAGTATTTGCTGCTTGCCGAGCAGGATATCTAGCATTTGGTTGATTATTAATTTCATTCTGCCTCAGCCTATTTCTTGCAATTCTGTGACAACTATTTTCAACTTGCCTAATCACACTGTCCTCATTTTAATTCAAATTATTTGCAGCTTGCCATGCAGCATATCTAGCATTTTTTTGATTATTAATTTCATCTCGCCTCAGCCAATTTTGCATTTCTGCGACGATTATTTTCAACTTGCTTATTAACATTTCCATCATTTTCTAAACTAATAGCCACTTCTAGCCTTATATCATCCATTTAAACTTCACTTTTAATTGATAGTAGTAACAAAAAATCTGGAAAGAATCTTGAAGTTTGTGATTTTTTTTTTTACTTCTCTAAATTGCACACACACAAAGAATAATTTTTAAAACATTACATAAGAAATGAAAAAATATTAGTAAAAATTTTTTAAAAATTCACAAAACTTAACAATATTTTGTTCTTCTATACCACATAAATACATCATTTGATAAATAAAAAATGTAACAAATAAGTAAATAAGAAAAAAATTACATACAAAAAAAAAAAAAACCATTGCACCTGATAAAGCTGATGTGATTTACCAGAGTAGTAGTAGTAGGCTTTTAGTGAATCTAAATATTAATTTTAGTGAATGATTAAATGCAGTGAGGTCTAATAATGAAATTAACTATGTATCATTTTTAACAGTAGACAACAACTTGAAGGTAAACCAAATGTATATCAACTCAAAAGATTACAAAAAAACAACATCACAACAACAATAGCATTCACCATAAGTTCATATAATATGCATATAACAAAACTAAGAAACATAACATTCATATATAACAGAACATCAGTAACAACATTACGCAAAATGTTATTAAAATATATTATGTATTTTCAGAGTAATTATTAATAAAGGCTTGAAAACACCTATACCTAAAGCAGTAACAGTTTGACACGAAACACTGCTTTGTAACCCTTTGCAGTAAGTGACTTGGCTGGCTAGGTTGACAAATCTTGCTTTACATGTTTACCAATTCACAGCACTTTGAAAACATGGAAATAACATAATATAAACATATAAACCAACTATAAACACAATATATATATATATATATATATATATATATATATATATATATATATATATATATATATATATTTACATACATATTTAAACATATTTAAACACATTTAGTATAACTTTTTTGTTGCATAAAAAATAAATAGACCTCATCCATACCTCTATCTTCCTTCTAAAAAATAGAAGATATGCTCAATAAAAACAAAACTGCTAGAAAAAAATAAAGCCAAAAGAAAATCTAAAACAAACAAAATGTAAATGATTTAAAAAAAATAAAAGGAGTGATCCTTTCTACTTAATTTCTAATAAAAATGTTATTTATAAATTGCTAAACTAATTTCTACACTTACTTCAATTATAATATGATGATTATATATATAAATTTATTTATTTATAATATATATAAATATAATTATTTATAATATATATAAATTATAATATGATGATTATTTATCTTTATATGATTCTTTAAGTAAACAAAATATATTTTAATCTGCGTTTCAAATTTTATATATATATATATATATGATAGAAACCTCTACAATTTCATCTGTTTAACAACTGAATTATGATTTATCACAACTCTGGAAAATTTTCTTTTAATTTAAGTCTAAATAAATAAACAAATTATAAATAGAAATGGTAGGAAATGCTTACTGCTAGTATTTTTAGCATCTTAATAACTAAACAAAATAAACATAAATAAAAATGTAAGCAAACGTTTGCTGCAAATAAACAAACTACAATATCATAAAATAAAATAAACAAAAATACAATATCAAGTTTATATTTATGAACAAAATTCATTTATATCCTGTAAGTTACATTAAATAAAATATTTATTGAAAAGCCATAAAAGTTTGCGTGAAACTAAGTCAATAGTAACAAACAAATAGTAAATAAAAATAAAAAATCGTTAGGGCATCAACACACAACAAATCTGATACAAACGTTTAAAAAATAAATACAGCTTAATCTCCTTATTAAATATAAAAGCATGCCTCGTGTAATTTCAAAAGTTTCAAAACTGTTTGCATTAGAGTATTTTACAGAATACAGAACCGTTACTAATATCGAACAATAGTAACTAACGGCATTGAACATTGAACATTGACTTCTAGCAATTATATTGTAGATTCAGGAGTGTGTGTTCCATAAATATACCACAACAATAAAATTTTAGGAAATATTTAAATAATCAGTCGAACTTTCTGGCAGAAAGTCTTCGCGAATTAAGATTTAAAACTTGATTTTCTTGGAAACACAAAAAAAAGACATACGGCCTCTTGGTTCTCGGCTGACGATATAATAAAAATAAACAAGAAAGTGTTAAAAATACTTTTCCGTTTCACAAACATATTGCTTAATTTAATCTTAAACTTTTGGCAATACTTTTTTTAAAAGGAATTGACGATAATTTTTTTGCTGTTTATTCCAAGCAAATTTCCTATAAATCCATATACACAAATAAGTTCATGAGGAAAATTGACATTAAATACATAATAAGAGACTAGCAGCAACTCAAAAGCAAATCTAATACTCGGTATGGCTTCCAACCGTATAGCTGTATTATCGACTTATAATTAGAGTTATAATTAGAATTTTAAATAGAGTGCCGCAACTCTTGAATAAAATCGGTAGAAAAACTTTCTCCTTCTTCAATAACTCAAGGGAGCTTTCAAGACTGAGGTGTACCTAAATGTTTAAGTAAAATTTTAAAAATGCAGAAAATACAAAGCTCAAAAAAGTTATACTTTTTAATTATAAACCAAATTTAACTTTAAAAAAAATGTATAGAAAAAACCTACATCCATTTCTCTATAAAATAAAGCCAAAATTGCATCAAGATACATTCTTGGACTCTTCTTGCCTTTCTGTGGAGGTGCTATCACAAGAAAAAGGAGCGCCTTAAATGCAAGCAAAGTTGTATCTTCTAAATAAAAATAAATCGGGGAACAACTTGTATATACTTATAAACCTTTATAGGTAGATTATAAAAAAACCTTCTTGGATTAAAAGGGTATATTACATTAGGAACTAATAAATGGAATAAGATGAGAAAGAGAAAATTCGCACTTTTGCAGATTGGCACATAGTCAAGTTGCAGCAGCTTAGTACTTATGCAGATTGACAATTATGTTGTAAAAATTCTTATTTAAGTTATAAAGTTCTTATTCATTCATTCTCTCCACTTAGGGTAGTAGACATATATACCTCCATTATATTAGTCTTCTGACAAAGTATTTTTGAACATTGAATCTCTTGCTAGTAACAAAATGTTTTATTTGCAAGTGTTAAAGCCATCATGCAATGTAATATTACTTGATACCTCTTTAATGAAATGAAACTATCTTTGAAATTCCCTCATTAGTTTCATATCTAGGAGGGCCCATGTTGCATGTTTCAGAAGTTACAAAAAGAGAACTTTTTTCTAAGTGTTTATCTTGTTTATATGTGTCAAGAAACTTGAGTGGCTCATTGCAATGTATAACACTACTTTCAAACTTACTCTTAAACAATAATAGAGTGGAAACTGCTCTAATGTCATTGAAAACTGATAAAGCAGCATTACCAATATCATCGCTCGAAATAACAGCTGATAATGATCAGCAATTTTTGAAGAAATTTATAAATATATATATACAATATATACATATTATAGCACTATAAATCATAGTTGCCATTGTGCATTTATTAATATAATTTTATTAGAGTGCTTTCATAGGCATGATGAAATTAATTAATACATTATTTCAACATGCAACATGACTAAAAATCATAATCATAACTAATAAAAATCATTATTGAATGATATATTATGCAATAATGATTTTTATTAGTTATCTTAGCAAAAAAAAGATATGTACATAATGTAAAGTATACCTTTATGCAGGGGCGGGTTTAGCTTTTTAAAGAGGTTAGTCAAAAAAGTCGGTTGCGGATTTTACTGCCCCCTCCCCACGAAAGGACGGGGGGGGGATGAAGATGCAATACAAAAAAAAGCACCTACCCCATTTGTTTGATAAATAAGTTATTTGCAAAGCCTTCAAAAAAGCGACTCAAATGGGGTTGGATGTTTAATATATATATATATATATATATATATATATATATATATATATATATATATATATATATATATATATATATATATATATATATATATATAGATATAGATATATATAGATATATATATATATATATATATATATATATATATATATATATATATATATATATATATATATATATATATATATATATATATATATATATATATATATATATATATATATATATATATATATATATATATAGATATATAGATATAGATATATAGTATTAAAACTAGCAAGGATCCATTAAATCTACAAAAATAAAATATTGTCTGTGGTATTAAAATACTTTGTGGGCATCATTATTGTGTATAATTGTAACATATATAAATAATACACCTGTATGGAGTATAACAAATCATTAATTAAATAGGCAAGGTTTGCATAGTTAGGTGACTTGCAAATAGAATAAAAACTTGGTAAAAGTAAACAACTACAATAACATTAATACCATAATTATAAAAAAATTATAATGTAATTGATTAGTATGACTATCATACTATGAGAAATGCAATAACACAAAAGCAATGATATGATAACTAACCATAAAAACCCATTTTGTTATTTTATTTCATTGATAGATATGCTATATAATGTTAAACAATTGTAATATTAATGTTCGTAAACAAAGTTATGCTTACAGTTAATGTGTTGCATGTGTTTATTTTCTCTAAACTGTTGAATAATGATCAATAAAGTAAACTTCAAATAATGAAAGCTTACTAAATTAAAACCATATTTCAACTCAAATAACCACACAAGGTAGAATCTCAAGGTAGAGCTGAAAAAAAGGAGAAAAAGTATATAATAGACAATGAATATAATGCTCCTAATTAAAATACCAAAGATACAGTACATAACGGTACCAGTTTCGATTAACAATTGACAGGTAAAACTAAAGATAAATATAGAAAAAAAGAATACAATAAAAATTAGACATGTTTAAATTTATAAAGATAATAAAACTTCATGAAAAAAATAAAATAACAACTAAAATAAAATAAATAATCCTTTTAAATAAATAAAACTGTAAAAAATAAAATAATTATATTTTTTAATTTAAAAATTATACAAACTTTCTATTTGAAGAAGATCTTGAAGATACTGAATAAAGATTAGTATATACAGTGTATATACAAACCTTTATTCAGTATCTAATTTACAATGTAAAAAACACATAAATTCTTCCCTAACATCATAGGAATTGTCTATTAATCTAATTATTAAAGACAATTATTCCTGATTGGAGCAGTCAGAAGCTTCATCAGCAATAACTGAAAAAATTCGATTTTCTTTTATTTCAGAAACCAAAATATTCTGGATGTCCTTTCCCCAACAACTTATTAATTCATTCTGTGAGGAATTAGAAATATAAGATGCATTCTTTGCACAGCTGTTAAGATAAAGTTCAAGAATTTTATCCCCACCTCTGATTCTGTAGTTTAAAAGTTCAATAAAATTACCTACTCCACCCACTAAAGAATATTTGCCAATGACCATCAAAATGACCTCTGAAAGCTATATTAAGTTGACCTAAGAAAATAATTTTCTCACAAAACATCTTCTTACAATTTAAAGCTATCTCCTTTTCACATTCTTTATTAAAATATCTATATTTTAAATATTTCTATTCATAGTATTTAAAACTGCGGAAAATATGGTCCAGGCATTATAATGTAGAATTTGTACTGCGTGATGATGTTCATAAATTTTTCAGCTGAGTGATATTCATAATTATTCCCGTTTTTCCCATGGTAATGTCTATTAAAAGTGCTCACAGCATCTGGCCTATACTTGAATGACTGAGAATACAAATTTTTAAATCTAGAAGTTTTTGAAAGGTATTTATATCTAAACAAAACGCAACACAAACAAACTGCTCCATCTTCAGAAGGTGAATATCTAAGCCCTGAAAATTGTTTTAATAATAAAAGTTTTTAAAGATTGCCCATTTGTTTTTAAAAAATTGTTTTTAAAGTTTCATCAGGAACAAAAACATTTTGAATCAAATTTTATATTTGTAAATCTTTCAAAGTAGAAGCCTTCAAACGAAACAACAAATTAACAATATCTGATGATGAACATAGAATACAAGGTTCAATATTAAGATTAAACATAATTTTATATTTTAGGAAAGAACTGTTCTATAGTAACACTAATTTCTTGTAGAACACACAGTTGAAAGAGCAAGAACACAAAGAAACACAGACCATAAAAATTCTTTACACATATGAAATGTTTCTTCCTTAACAAGGTTATTTTTTAATTTTCCTGAGTCTATAAAATGTGTGGATACAGACACTGCTAACAAATTATCAATTGATGAAAACTCATTTGGATACATTGTGCACAAGCTTACAAACAATGGATGATTACTGTAAAAAGAGGCATTTAAATATAAATCAATTGCTGTCAGTATTCTTAAATCCATTGCCAGACTATTATCACCACACAGATAAATCCAAAATGAGCTAAATAAGCAATTGTCAGTTGATTCAGCTGAATCAAATCTGATCAGATCTTTAACAGAGCTGTAACTGATCACTGTAACTGATCACTGTAACTGATCACTGTAACTGATCACTGTAACTGATCACTGTAACTGATCACTGTAACTGATCACTGTAACTGATCACTGTAACTGATCAGAGCTGAATCAGATCTGATCAGATCTGTAACAGAGCTGCAACTGATCAGAGCTGTAACTGATCACTGTAACTGATCACTGTAACTGATCACTGTAACTGATCACTGTAACTGATCACTGTAACTGATCACTGTAACTGATCAGAGCTGAATCAGATCTGATCAGATCTGTAACAGAGCTGCAACTGATCAGAGCTGTAACTGATCACTGTAACTGATCACTGTAACTGATCACTGTAACTGATCAGAGCTGAAACAGATCTGATCAGATCTGTAAAAAGGGCAATTAAAAATTTTTAAAGTAAAAAAAATTCTACAATAATCTCAATGGAAAATAAACTTGGATTTAATCATTTATTTACAATAAATCAATTTGGTAAAAAGTTGAACCAATTAGATCAAGGCAAAAAATGTATTTCATAATATGATTACTATATAAATTTACATCCCCAAATGAACAAACGCAGGGATAATATGTTTACAAATTTTAAATATAATTTTTTATTTTACTTGTTAGGATAAATAAAGTAAATCTTACTTCAACGCCTAGTTGTTCTTGACTCCTGAGGAATGTCGTGCTCTACTCTTTATTGACTTATGAACAGTCAACAACTGATAAAAATCTGACTTATGAAGGAGATTAATCTTTACTGACAATTCTGAATAAAGAGTTTGTAAACTTTCAATAAATTCATTTTCAAGCAAATACCTTACAGACTGTAAATGCATGCCAAATCAAAAATTATTTAAAATTTATTTAAAACATTCAAAGAATTATTGTTAGAAAAGGCTTCTTTTAAATTAGTCAGGGGGCAATCATCATATATTTAAATTCGACTAACTTGGCCTGAAGTTACGCTACCGAACGACAAAAATAAAACAATTTAAAGTGCTTTAAGAAGTTTTTAAAATCTCGTTAGCCGAATAAAAGGGCCAGATAAGTCGCAAGATTTTTTTGACTAACTTGGCCTTAAGTTACGTTACCGAACAGTAAAAATAAAAAAAATTTAAAGTACTTTAATAATTTTTTGAAATCTCGTCAGCCGAATAAACGGGCCAGATAAGTGGCAAGATTTCTTGACTAACTTGGTCCGAAGTTACGCTACCGAAAAAAAAAAATTACAAGACTATTGCGTGGCTATTGCGTGCGCATATACTTATCATAATTTAATTGGTATTGCTGTTTAGACCAAAAATATAGAGATTTTATTTAATTTCAAAAATAATCTCAAAAGTATATAACCTATTTCATTAGCCTGATCGTTGTTTAGTTTAGTAAAAAAGATGTTAGTCAATGCGCCTAACAAGACTAACCCTAAACCCGCCCCTGTTTATGGTATACATATATATCTAGTTGTTAACATAAGATAACTAAAATAGTTGTTGTTAATATAACTAAAATGCTGCTATTTTAACTAAAATGACACCATTATCATATTTATTTAATAATATTTATGTATTAAATATTTTCCATTTTGTTATAACATAAAAAAATTAACTTTAACAACATTAACATTTAATGTTAACAATATTATTTAACAATATTATTTACAGTTATGTTAACAACATTACTTGTGTTATGTTAACAGATTACCAGTTAACTGGTAATGTTATGTGATTTTATTCAAACCTATATTTTACACATTTTTTTTAGACTATTGTTATTACTTTATATAATCAATGTTATTATGTTATAATTTTTATAACTTCATAATAATGTTGTTAACGTAACTAAAATAATTGTATTAATATAACTAGTTATGTTAATACAATTTATATAAAATAATAACATTAGTCTAATTAAATAAAGTCACACAATTAATTTATGTAGTAATGTACTATAAACCAAAGGTCTTACCTAATTTTTAACAACTGAAAATCAATATTTTCCTCCCTTAACATATTTAATACAATATTCCTAAAATATTACAAACCAAATATTTCTTTATGAAAAAGTTAACTATGTATGTGTTTAAAATTACCATACAGCAATAAAAGTTACACTAAAATTTTCAGTAAAACTGTAAATGGATCATAAAAAAAAAAACATGTCGCTAGAAACACGATTCTAGCCTCCTTTCCGAATAATTTGATACAAAAATCCAAGAAAGTGCAACACAAAGTGTGGCTTTTTTTACGCCTATAATGAAGTTTAATTTCATATTTACAAGTGTGGCTTTAAAGGGCACAAGTGTAGCCTTGAAGTACACAATTTGTGTAGCCAAAAAGACGCTACACTAAGTGTCCTGTTTTTTGTCTACACTATTTTTAAGCGTTTATGTTACCATTTAATATTTAAAGTCTTGCCTCAAGTTAACCTGACATCAAACCATTAAATCAGTTGGTTAGGGTTTAATATCTTTTATATAATTTAATAAATGCAAAAATAATCAATATAACTAACATTTTGATTGTACCTAATTAGACAATAATCATTTTAGGTTATATTATTACTTGAAAAAAATTATTTGTTACAATTTAAACATATTGAAAAAAATTAAACACAATTGTAATTTTTACCACAATAAATTTTGTAATAAAATTATTTTCACAATAAAAATTTATAATTATAAACAAGTGTAGAGTACTTATATTATTATATATAATAGTTATATTCATGATTAGTCTAACATAACGCATTTCAAATATCGAGGAACAGAATTTATTGTTTAATTTTCTGTTGTCTTAGAGCTACATTTTGTGATTATAAATTAAACTTATTTCACAGTATATTCTAAAAAATATAACACCTTAACAATTTGGTTTAAAAAATCATTATACATAGATAACTTTTAAACTTTACTACATTGTGACAATGGCAGCATGTATTGATGACAATACATGCTGCCATGCAACTATTCAAAAATTGACTATTGAAATCATATTGCATGAATAACATACATGCTTTACCATATATAAATATTATTACTAGTACATATTATTCTATTAATCAACAGATAAATGAAAATAAAAATAAAAACAAACTACCGTTGAGGTATCAAATGAAGTTTATGTGAAAAATCCTTTAAATGTATATTTATTCCAAATCATGTCACACTACTGTATATGTAGTTTTAAAAATGTTTTTTATCATATATATTCATAAACTTTTAATGAAAATAATGTAAAACACACTATTCTTAATCTAAAAATATGTGCTATCATAATAACATTCACATTTCCAGAGATTCACAGTCCATCTTCTATTCACAGAACTTATCCATTCACAGAAGCCCAGGTCAATATTAGGAAAAACCTGTATATTTTGCAAATTCTATATATTTTTAATAAACAGAAATTATCTTATCAGGGTTGCCACTATAATTTTTAAAGTTTTTCCCTGAGTATTCCCTAAGTAAAGAATGTTTTTCCCTGACTTGAACTCTTTAAGTTCCCTGAGTTTTCCCTGACTTTTCTAAATTCTTTGCTGTTCATCAACAAGATTATTATTTTCCTTAATTAAACACAATCTTTATATTTGACAAACTAAAACTTTTACAACAACACCCACAACTAGCAAACTTATTATTATATGTATTAGCAAAATATTTTTGAAAAAAAGTTTTTGCTGAATTTTATGAAAATTTTAGAAAATCCCTGAGTATTCCAGGTTTTCCCTGGGATTCATGCTATTTCCAGGTATTCCAGGTTTTCCAGGTTGAGTGGCAACCCTGTTTATTTATTTTATCAAACTCTGTAAACTAATAGTTTGTGATATTAAAACTCGGGGAAAGTAAAACTTTCCTGAACTTTCTAAAACAAAAACATTCAAAGTAATGTTGTCAGATTAAGTGTTAACTTACTAGATTTAGATAAACCATTTCATAGGAGATTATATAACTAATGGGTAAAAAACTAACATTTATTGAAGTAATGCATTTTCTGTTGTTATACATAAATCAACACAAACCAACTCTAAAAACAAAACATAGATACTATTGAACCTCTTTAATAAATTTAATAAAGTTTTATTAAAATTTAAAATTTAATTAAGTTGTATACAAAAATAACATAGATAAAAAATATATTACCAAAAAAATTTTATAATTTTGTAAATAAACATATTATATATGACTATATTTTATTATATGATATCATATAATAAAACAATGAAATTAACTTACTATAGCAAGTGAAAAATACAAAACACTTATGATTATTGAAAGATTCAGTCTTTGCAATATTTAGTATCAAAGCTATATTTTCATTTTTATATTGCACTTAAGTAGCATTTTATGATTGTATATTTAATTTATTTCAGAACATTTTTTAAAAAAATTATAACATCCTGTGATAATTAAAAAACATCTTAAAACCTTAATACTCGACATTTCCCTCTTTTAGACTAGCCAAATTGTTTCTTAAACAAATGTCTGAATATTGCTATCAAAAAATATATAAATTTTTACATTTTAAAGAATTAAAAAATGTATTTAATAAACAAATATATTCAAACAAAATGTGATAATTTTCTTATTACTTCAGATAAATAAAGCTAAACGTTAAAACATCGAATAATTTTTGTTATTACTAAACCTTATATTATAACTTATAATATCAGTTACAGTATTTATAATACAAATATTATATTATTAATTATATAAATTATAGAAAATGTAAAACATTTATGTATTTATAAATAATATGTAAAGTTTAGATAAGGCAGTATTACTTAGTAAAACCTTACTGTGTTTTGTAAAGTGTCATTTAGATTTGCTTAAAAAAGATAATTTAAAATGAAACACACTAACTTAGTGTATTTCATTTTTATAACTTAGTGACTAAGCCATAACTGTTAGCACACCAAACCATAAAAACTAATTTGAAAAATTTTCAACATTTGTTTATTGCATAAAAAAATAAAAATATGTCTTCAGTTTGATAAAACATTTTACAAGTCTGTAATAAAGTAAACATTAACACACTGTCAAACTTATTAATGGTTATGAAATTTAGAGCATTTAAGAAGTATGTTAATTAGCATTTAAGAAGTATATAGAGTATGTTATGTTTTTTTTTTTTTTTTTGTAAAATCGTTTGTTAAATGAATAGGGTAAAGCGGGGCATTAAGCCCCATGGGGCATTAAGCGCCACTTACTCCTTTCATATAATAAAATGCTTAGTGTTATTGTATTAAGAGAGAAGGACATTAAATTTTACATCATAGATAATAACTAATCAATCAGGGATCTTTTCTCAACCATACTTGGGTTTCTAACCCATGGCATTGATATGCAGTTAGAACTTATAGATGAGTGATTTTTTCATCATGTTTTCCGTTTCCTTTAAACTTGTTGAAAAACTTCCGTTAAATTAGCGCGTGTTTGTTATTAACTTGAAATACAAGTGCATATAAACGTGTGTTTGTTTTGACTAACAATACTAGTAAATATAGACTTAGTAAGTAGTATCAGTGGCGGTTGAGGTTTAGTGTCGCGGGGGGGCCAAGTCAATAAATAGGGGCGACCGGGGTTGCCTTCAGTAATTTAATTTTATATATATATATTTTTTTAATTGTTTTAGGGGGCGCCGTTAGACCGTTCTAGGGGGCGTGGGGGGCAGCTCGCCCCCCCCCACACCCTATACTAAATCCGCCACTGAGTAGTATGTTCAACTTTATAACTATCTGTGTATGTAACTAATGAATTAAAATACTAATATTTATAGAGCAAATAAAGGTATCAATTTTAGCTAAATAAAATGGCGGTTAAATGAATGTCTAAGACATTGTTTATAAATAACTCTAAAATTCACTTTAATACTAAATTTCTATTAAATATTTTGAATAGAGAGCATTTCTAAGAGAAATATGATTTTCTTGATTATAAATTAGTTTAATTAATTTATAAAAATTAATGTTTTAATTAGCAGGGGCTTAATGCCCCCAAATGACAAAAATGTGATTAAAACAACTGAATAAAATTGATTAGATAAATAAAATCAATGTTTTAATTATTTAAACATTACACAGATATAGTTTAAATTGAAAACAAAAGTTTCTTATTTTTAGAAATAGTTTAATACTGTTTTAAATATAGTTTTGACAATAGAGCTTATTACCCCCTTTGTACAAAGGGGGAGAAATTTTGCTTAACAGTTGTTTAGCAAAATGGTTCAAACATATAAAAGGGAGAGGAACTAGGAAGGAAGTTATATGCAACTAGCCAGGCAATGATAGATGCCAACAGGCAAGCAAATGTCTGCCAACCATGCTTTCTTTCATTATGGAGTTGATAAAAAAGGCTCTTTTAAGGAGAGTGCGAGGATGGGGCGGATATTGAATGGCTTATATTCCATGACTGGCATTCCATTGTTTTAATATCAGCCCCAGATGGGGCTGATATTGAAGCCGTGGAATGGATCTGTGAGATTTGCTTACAAACAATGTGAAAATAAATAGTAATAGTAATAGTAATACAAATTGCTGTAACAACGATTGTCGCGGAGTATAAAGTTTAAAATTTATACTTTAACAGCCGTTAACAAATGTTTATCTAGTCTAGCTTTAAAAGAATTTACTGTCACTGCAGAAACCACTTTTTCAGGTAAAGCATTCCAATGAGGTATCACTCTGTTCGTAAAAAAATTATGTCTCGGTGTTTAACATCTGGAGCTTATTGCCCCAATTTTTTAAATCTTGAGTCATTGTTAGTTGTAACTTTTTAGTTTTTTTTTCACAGTAAGATTATAAATTTTTCTGATTAAAGCTATTGTACTTAAAGAAATATGTGTTGTCTATTACTTAAAAACATTTTCAGTTTAAATCTAATATTTTTTTACTTATTTCAAATAGAAGAAATGAAAGTTCTTGAAAACATGGAGCTTAATGCCCCGCTTTACCCTATCTAAATACTGCTATAAAAATATTTATACTTTTATTATAAGTTAAAACTGATATATAAATAATTATTTTTTACAAAAATACTAAAAAAGAGCCAAATTAAGTTCCTGTTCACTTTAAATGTGTAATTTCCTCGCAAGAAAACACAATAAGAAGTTTTATTCATCTACCTCATCATTAAACTAACTTCTATTTCACCTCCTTCTTACAAAATCAATCGATAATTTATATTATACTACAAACCTCAAATATTCATTTAAAACCGTGTAAACATATTAAATGTAATTACTAATTAAAAATTATGCTAATCACAAACCGCATAGTTATCACTAACTGTTTTTAGAGTTTACCACAACATAATTACACTCCTCCTTGATCCTCAAGGATCACATAAACCATCAGTCATTCAAGTCATCAGCTCTCATAACTTCATCAGCTCTCATAATTTCATCCGCCGTTTCAAATTTAGCTGTTTTAAAGTTCTTCGTTCTACAATCTTTGTTCTACGATCTTTGTTCTACAATCTTTGTTCTACAATCTTCGTTCTACGATCTTTGTTCGATCTTTGTTCTACGATCTTCGTTCTATGATCTTCGTTCTACGATCTTTGTTCTACAATCTTCGTTATCACTAACTATTTTTAGAGTTTACCACAACATAATTACAAAATGCAAGTGTATATTCAATCTAAATCAATCTGCGTTACTGCATATGTCATTTTAAAAGATTTTATCATATTTTCAAGCATAATTTTTGCCGCAATCGTTGCACCATATGGAACCCATCTTTTACCCAGTTCAAATCCCAGCCATAACTCAGTTCCAATAATCTAGTAACATTCCAGCTGAGACCTAGTTGTTGTGGTTTACTGGGCAGTTTATCATTTTTATTATTAATTACTATTATTTACAAGTAATTCAAAATATAAATTATTTAAATATTTTTTTATATAAAACCTTATACTACAGTTAAAAATAAAGTTATAATATTTATAATATAACTGAAATTAAAATTATTATCACAAAACATAGTATTACAATGTTTTTTAAAGTGATACTATGACTATTAGTAAGGTTTTACTAAGTGACACTGCTATATATAAACTTTAGATATCATTTATAAATGCATTATATAAATGTAAGATTTAACATTTTCTATAAGTTTATATTTGATAATATATTTGATAATATATTTGAAATTATATTTGATAATATATTTGATAATATATTTGATAATATATTACTTATACTATGAGAAACATATTAACTATATTACTTATAAAATATGTAAAATCTTACATTTAATAAATGTATGATTTCAATTTTTTTCATTTCAGTATGTAAAACTTGCATATTATTTATAAATACATAAACCATTTATTAAATGATTTATGTGAAAATAAACAATATGTAAAGTTTACGTACGGCAGTGCTGCATAGTAAAACTTTGATATGTTTTGTAAATAAAATTTGTCAAAGTCATTTTTAAAACATAGCAAATTCAAAGGTTTTTTAAAAAGTCTATGAGATTTGTTTGAAAAAAACATTAAAACTAAACACACTAAGCCATTACTGTAAGCCCACTAAGCCATTACTGTAAGCACACTAAACCATATAAACTATTAATAATTCATTCAGATCAATAATTAATCATTTCGAAGGAACTCTTTTTACATTCTTTAAAGCAACGAGATTATTTACGTGTTTCAAAAAAGATAGTCTTTCCTTATTTTCAATCTTTGCCTAATAAGAAAAAAAGTAGAAGGAGACTTTTTAGATTAGAGCTCGACAATTAAGGCTCTCAACTGTTTCCCATTATCTCTCTTGGGCACGAAAGAAGTATTCAAAAACGGGGAATCCTTCTTTCTTTGCTAGAAGGGAGGATCAATGGACAAAAACTATAGATCGTGTGAAAGCTTCACACGATTTATGAGTTTTGCTAATTATGAGCTATGAACTGTTACCTATGAGCTTCAATGAAGCAGCATCAATCCAGCCGATTGCACCAAATGTTGTACATGGAATGCAAAGAAGCATGCATTTGCCTTACCAGTTCCACTGGTGTAGCTTCTGGCAGAGCTCCAGAAGCAAACCAATTCTGACACAGCTAAATGGAGGACATTTAGGATGTGACCTTTTTTTGGCTTTTAGAAATTTAGCTTTTCTAGGTAACTTAGTATAATACTCTTTCAATATCAGTTTTAGTATATTTTAGTATATTTTAGTATTTTTTTAATATATAATTGTTGTAATAATTTAATGATAGTTATTATGTACAGCTATGTTTGCAGGTGAGACAATACACGTGAATGGAAAAAGAAATGGAAACTTTCATGCTATATTTAACTTAATCTTTTCTAAAATTAATATACTTTTTATTCATGTGGTAGATCAATCATAAGGGTATATTGTAATTTCAGAAATAGTTTTGTGGTAAATCATTCTTTAGTAATAACTGTTTCAGATTAGCCTTAAATTTATTAAACATTGCAAATGTTTTAAGTTCAGTTGTAAGTATTTTATTCCATGCCTTTGGTCCTCTAATTGAAATTGAAAACTCAGTTTCCGCAAAAATAC